TGTCATCAGGATACGCGGCGGCGTCATGGTCGCCGTCGAGACCGAGGACAACGACCCCGTCGCCACGCCGCTGTGGGCCGAGCTCATCGGCGAGGTCGCCGCTTACCTGCCCGACATGGACATACCCCTCAACGAGATGAACGAGCCCCGCGTCCTGGTGCCCTTTGAGAAGATGGCCGAGTACGTCGCCAAGGAGCGCGCCACCCGCGCTCTCGTGAGCAAGGACCTCGTCGACTCGGACTATGTCGGTCTCGCCGCCGTCGATTCGGCCCGCGACGAGAGCCCGATCCTGGCCGTCAAATGGCTTGGCGAGGCCGATGCTCGCTACTGGGACCTCGTCCGCGCCGCCTGCGAGCCCGGCACCCCCTCGCGCGACGTGCCCGCCCTGACGAACCTGACCTCGTCGTCGCCCCCGCCCACGCTGCCGTACGAATGGATCGCCCCCTTCACGCAGCAGGGCTACATCGAGAACTTTACGCGCGCCGCCGACCTCTGCCTCCAGCCTCACCTGCGCGCCTTGCACAGTGACTTTGTCGAGCCCTTTGACGTCAAGACGACGCGCGATCTCATCCCCATCTTCACCGGCGGCAAGCTCGGCGTCAACAACGACATTTTGCTGCCGAGCACCGCCTACCTCGAGGGCGAAAACACGAACCGCATCGCCCACCTGCTGGGCCCGCTGTGGAAGGACAAGAAGGACCAACTCGTCTTCCGCGGCATCGCCTCGGGCGGCCGCACCGACGACAGTCCCTGGCGCCACTTTCACCGCCATCGCCTCGTCGAGATGCTCAACGGCACCGCCGTGCACCGCATGGAGCTCGACGCCGCCGCCCACGCCAACACGTTTGACTTTCCGCCGCCCGCTTACTACGGCACGGAGCGCCGCCGCCTGCAAAAGGTCGGCGCCTGGCTGTCCAAGTTTGCCTCGGCCGGCTTCACCATGTTCGCCTGTGGCGACGAGGCCACGCTGCAGGAGGCGCCGTGCCCGGCCCTGGCCCCCCACGTCCGCAGCACGCCCGCGCCCCGCAAGGGCAAGGCTGCCGACTTTGTGGCCAAGTACATACCGCTCGTCGACCGCGAGCGCGGCGAGGGCGGCGTCGCCGGCCGCTTCCGCCACACGCTGCTGAGCACGAGTGTGCCCCTCAAGGCGACCGTCTACGCCGAATGGCACGATGACCGCCTCGTGCCGTGGCTGCACTTTGTGCCGCTCGACAACACGTTCCGCGACCTGTACAACGTGCTCGACTACTTCACCGACGGCGACGCCGAGCGCGACGACCGTGACGCCGGCGTCTGGGGCCGTGTCGGCATTGGTCGCATCAAGCGCGGCGACAAGGCCGCGCGTTGGATCGCCGAGTCGGGCCGCGCCTGGGCGTCGCGCGTTCTGCGGCGCGAGGACATGCGCCTCTATGTGTGGCGGCTGCTGCTCGAGTGGGCGCGCGTCTGTGACGAGAACCGGGAGAGACTGGGTTTCGTCGGTGACCTGGTGTAATGGACCCTGCGGCGGTCTGATGAGCCTCGAGGGGTCATGATGAGCCTCGAGGGCCCTTGACGAGCCCCGTTGAGATGTAATGTTTTTGATGAACTCTGGGGCATCGCCTTCCAGAGCTGTACATTTTTTTTTTATTTTTTTTTTCATTTTTTTTTTGGGCCCGCTCTTCGCTGTTGCCTCTTTCTTTCACTTTTTGGATCTGCATACCTGTGCCAAGGGGGAGTCTGGGGAAAGAAAAACACACGCAAGTCATACCCATGTATCATGAAGGATCTTTCAGGGGCGGGCCAGTTGGTGTAAGGGGAGGCGGCCTTTTTTCAGGCTTTGTAATTGTGTGTTTGTTGAGATACCTACTGACTGCATTCTGGGGTGAGAAGAAGACGAAGAGGAAGACGCAGAGGAAGACGAAGAGGAAGGCGAAGGAGGGGCAGGAGGGTGGGATGAAGATGAATATCAGGCGAAGAGTTGAAGAAGAAAGGGGGCGATGAATACTACACGTTTGGTGACGTCGATGTTGAAGATCTTCTGCCACAAGATGACACATCTCCGTTGTATGATGACCCAATGTTGTGATGATGGTTCGTCACCCTTGTTCACCCGAAGGACGCTTGACGTGGAGATGCTGTTCAGACAAATTCATATGTTCATATGTACTCGAAACTATATCCACAGGAAAAGAAAACACGTCATTCTTGATCCCCCGTCCAGACACGAGCGACGACGCAAGCTCAGCAGGTCGTCAGCCCGCTCACGGTGCACGACGAGCCGTCGGGCCCCTCGCCAATCTTGGCGGGCTCGCCGCCGTCATTGTTGCCCTCGAACAGCTCGCAGCTCTTGCCCTCGGACTGGCACGAGTCGACGACGGAGCACGTGTCGCCGAGGTTGGTGTTGATGCCGCAGAGGGCGCCGCCGGCGACGGCCCTGACGCCGCCAATGACAGTGTTGCGGGCGCCGCCGTTGCCCTTGCAGTTGCCGCAGCTGCGGACGAGCTTGCCGTAGTTCTCGGCGTAAAAGTCGGTCACCTCGACGGTGCCGAAGCCGTTGAACTGGATGATCTTGTCGCTGGCGTCAAAGGCGCCGCCGCCGACGATGCGCGACGTGCCGGCCGACTGCTTGAGCGTGATGGCGTCCTCGCACACGGCCTGGAACCAGACGTTCTCGAGCGTGCAGGTCCCCAGGCAGTGCACGCCCTCGCCCTGGTTCGGCCCGATGATGACGTTGGACAGGGTCGCGCCGTCGTCGAGGACGAATATGGCGTCCGCCTCGCCGCCCTCCGCCTGGCCCGCGCACACGACCGTGTCGCGGTCGTACAGCTTCATGCCGCCGTCGAGCCCGCCGGACACCTTGATCGGGGCGCTCGCCAGTTCCGTGCCCGCCGGCGCCGGAATGTTGCCGTTGACCGTGCCCGAGCCGCCGGGGTTGACCGGCAGTGCTGATGTCGCCGACGGCGGGGCGCCCGAGAGGTTGGGCGTGCCGGGGCTCAGGGACGCGGATGCCGAGGGGGATTCTGCGTCGGTGGGCGTCGCCGTGTCGTTGCCGGAATCGTTGCCCGAGTCGCTGCCCGAGTCGGGGTTCGAAGACGCGGCGGGGGCGGCCGAGGTGACGACCGTCTGCAGGGTCGAAGCTGGCGTGTCATCATTGCCGGTGTCGTTATCCGGTGTCGCTTCCGGTGTCGTTGCCAGAGCCGTTCCGG